ATCCAACTTTCATTGTGTAACAGTCTGATACCAACGTTTCTGGCTCCCTGCTTCATGTGTTCCTAGCTCTCTCATTATTTCCATGTGTTTTCATCTTCTTCTAAAATTTGTGAAAATCCTGAAAAATCTTTTGCATCATACAGAGATTCTGGGTTATTTACTTCTCATTTCTATCTCCTTTTCTTGTTGAAGGTTTACTTTTCCCCCTCAAGTTTATTTACGTTACTGATGTTAATTTTTAAAAAATCATAGACATTGTCTGCATCTGAAAGATAGCTTTCCCTTTTTTATGTTCCAGTATTCAAGGTAATGACCATACAGACTAAAGCCTGTGAGTAGGCATCTCTGGGGGATGCCTCCTGAAACTGGCAAATACTGGCCCGGAAACTGGTAGAGTCTCTGGCCTTGTATTGCCAGAGTGTTGATGGAAACAGCCACTGGTTCTACAGCAACGTGGTTCACAGTGATCAAGGGCTTGCTATTCAGAGCTCAGTAATCTAGGCTACAGTCCTGATAGTGTGTTAAGCAAGTCACTTCACCACTGTACCTCATTACCCTCATGGAGATGAATATCCCCTTCAAAGTTTTATTGTGAGAAGCTAATTCATTCATTAATATAAAGCAAATAGAACTTCCCAAGACATAGGAAAGCATCAAATTAATTAGTGGGGTTTTTTCTCCCCAATTTCCCATTATCAAGCTACTCTTCTTAGTCTTTTCATTCCAAAAGCTCTTCAAATTTTCTATCAGATTTTTCTCTCCACTTCTCTTAGGGTTTTGTAAGATTACACAGGTTGGGTTTTGTTTTGTTTGTTTGTTTGGGTGGTTGACTTGGTTTTTATCTCAACAGTAAAAGATCAGGCAAATTACATTCTTGAGTTCATGGCACATCAAAATTACTGATACATCTTGTTTTGATTGTTGGTATCCATTTCCAACTTCTGTTTCTGATTCTACGCCCATTCACTTTCCCATTTTCTGTAGAAGACTTTTTTATTTTATTTGGTGGAAATTCTTCGATTTCTTGGTAGGTTGGGTCCATTGTTTTTGTTTTTGAAAATTCATAGATTTTTAAAAATTGGTTCAAGTTTTTGTGTAAAATGTATTTTTTGTGATGTATTAATGAACATAAGTATTATTGTGCTATAAATAGCATCAATGTTTCCAAGTTTTTTTAATAGGCATTGTGAGCTTTTAAAAATGTCCTTCTATCCACCAGCTACTCTGCTGAAGAAGGAGGGGCCATCTCCTCATGTTCCAGTCAGATCTGATTTGATGGTTCACACTCACACAATAATAAAATAAAAAATAAAAAAATTAAAAGTGACCTTCTAGTTTATTCTGAAACTCATCAGAATGTGGAACTTACATTTTCAAATTTGCTTGTTCAAATTTGGGTCTAAATTTGTTGTTGTTGTTGTTGTTATATGCCGTCGAGTCGCTTGCGACTTATAGCAACCCTATGTACATTATTCCTTCTCATTCTCTTTCTCCTTGTCTTATTTTTCTCTGAATTCTATCCTAACAACAAATCCTTTTATTCTTGGAGTTTTTTTTCTTCTCTTGTTTGATTTTTGTCAACATTTCTTGAATGGGTTTGCATACAATAATTCATTTGCTTTGTGTTTCATTTATATATGTTGTGCTTTATACAAGCATTCACATACCTTGAATTTTATATAAATAATTGTTCATCTATGCCTATTATTTCCCTGTCTTTTCGAGTACCCATTTAATCTGCACACAAACCCCCCATCTGCTCCCTCAACCCTGCTGTGCCATAGATTTACACCCTTCCTCTTTTTACACCTCTTCCCCCTTTCTGGACATTTATATACATGTTACTGGTTAACCTTCTATTTTTACAATAATGGTCATAGGCAGTATTTTTCCCTATGAAAGTGAGTTAGTTCACTCAGCATAATGCTCTATAGACTCTACCATGTTATTCAGTATTTTACAAAATTGTTGTTTCTTAGTGCTGTATCGTATTCTGTTGCATTGTGCTTTTTCTTTACACTGATGCCTTTGAGCTGTGGTGCTGGAGAAGAGTGATGAATATACCATGGACTGTCAGGAGTACAAAACAGGGTCGTCCTGGAGACGTTGAAACTAAGCTGCTTCTTTGGATGATTTTACACTTGATCTTAGGCAAAAGGCCGAGAAGCGATGGAGGCAATGATTTTGAGGCTTCATCTGACATACTTTGTATGTGTTACAAGGAGGGACCAGTCCTTGGAAAGGGACGTCATGTTTGGGAGGGTGGAGGGACAGAGAAAGAACATCAATGAGATGGGTTGATTTAGTGAATGGAGTATTAAGGGGAGGTGTGTCAGAGACAGTAAAGTCAGCACAGGATAGAGCAGGTTTTAGGGCTATTGGACATAGTAGGGTCATTATGCATCGCAAGCAACTTGATGACACATAACAACAACAACATGTTGTTATGTGGGACCCAATAGTTTCGGGTTTTTTTTTTTTCATAGTACTCTATGGCTTGTATCAAGCAAAATTTGTTTTCCACCATCCCACTACAATAATCTGCATTGTAATAAATATCCTTACAGATATACCCACGTGAACTCATATAAGCATTTTCATAGCACACGTCCCAGGACTAGAATTTATTAATGGTAGGATGTGGTGGTGGTGGTGGTTGTTAGGTGTTATCAAACCTGCTCAAACTCACAGTGATCCTATGTATAACAGAACAATACTAAAAAATCAGGTTCACTGATGTCATCCGATTCTCCTTCCTGGTGATGCTATAGGACAGTGTAGAACTTCCTTCCCCACAGGGCTTCCAATGCTGAAAGTCTTTTCAGAAGTAGAGTGCACCGTCTTTCTTCCATAGAGAGACTGATGCTTTCAAACAATTTGTGCTTTTGTTTAGCAACCAAGTGCTCTACTGACTGTTTCTGGTTAGTGACCAAGTGCTTAAATGACTGTGTCTGCTTAGTGACCAAGTGCTTTAATGACTGTCAAGTGCCATAGAAGCAGCCCTGACTCCTAACGACTCCTCTACCACAGCACAAATCCCTGCTCAGTTCTCCACCAGCTGTACGATCTCTGTTGTGTTTCAACACATTGTAGTCACCGTGTCAATCTACTCCCTGAAGTTCCTCCTCTCTTTATTTCTCCTCAATTCTCACAGCGTGATGGCCTTTTGCAAAGATTCCCCTCTCTTGACAATACTCCCAAAGCACGTGCGAGGCAGTCTCACCATTCTCACCTTTAAGGAGCACTGCAGCTGCACTTCTTCCTAGATGTTGTTGCTGTTGTTAGAACTGCAGAGTTTCACAGCTGAACACCTGCCCCAAGCGGGTTTTCAGAGGCAGTAAGTTGCACAGGAGGAGACTGCCCACCTTTCTCTCATGGAGCAACTGGTGGGTTTGAACTGTATACCTTTGGGTTGCCAGAGTACAATTCCTTACCTCTAAGCCACAAGAGCTACATGATATTTTCCATCTTAGTTAAGTTCTTAGGTGCCAATATGACTCATAGCAACCCTACGAACAACATATCTGAACCCTGTCTTATCCTGTGCCATCCACACACTTCCTGACACACTAGAGCCCATTGTGCGGTTATTGTCTCAATCTACCTGGTCAACGGTCTTCTTCTCCTTCACTGACCCTCCCTCCCTCCACCTTTCCGAGCATCATGCCCCTCTCCAAGGAACAGCCCCTCCTAGCAACATGGAAGTCCATGCTAAAAGAAATATTCTTTGACACCACCAAAAATTCACAGTCATTAATTATTCTTCATTTCTCTTTATTCACTCTGCAACTTTTACACACATCTGAAGCAACTGAAATGCAATGGCTTGGACCAGGTGCACCTTAGACTTTAAACTGGCATTCCTGCTCTTTTAGCATTGAAAAAAGGTCCTTGGCAGGAGATTTACCCAGTGCAGTTCATCTTTGAATGTCTTGACTGCTATTTGCAAGGGTGTTGATTGTGAATTTAAGAAAAAAAAAATGAAACTTGACAATGTCAGTCTTTTCTCCATTTATCATGATGTTGCCTATTGTTCCAGTTGTGAGGATTCTGGGTGTTGTATTTTTTGGTTTTGTGTGTGTGTGTGTGTGTGTGTGTGTGTGTGTGTGTGTGTTTTGGTGGTGTTGTTTTTTTAAACACTGGGATATAATACATGCTGATGCCTCTTCAGTAACTGCTTCAAGTTTTCTTTACTTTCACCAAGCAAGGCTGTGCCATATACATTCTGAAGATCTTTCACTGGCAGAAACTTGATCCCAGTCATGTTATTGAAGGAGATTCTATTTTGAAGAGGTGACTCCTTCTCAGTAATGTTTTTAGTGTCTTGCACCACAAAGGCCACATCTTCTGGCAGCATATCAGACAATGTTCCTCTATTCGTAGAATTTTCCAGGTCATGTTATTTCAGAGGTGGATGGCCAATCTTGCTTTCTACCTGGTTTGGTTTAAGCTGGAAGCTTTGCTGAAACTTGCTCACCACAGTTGGCCATGCTGGTATTTGACATATTTGTGCTGTAACTTCTAGCCTCAGAGCAGCATGCAAACCTTCACAGTAAGACACACTGACAGACGAGTCAGTTTCCTTGAAATATTGCAACCAATATTCAGTCGGACTCCTTTGAATCGGTAGCAACAAACAGCTCACCAAAATGGTGAGAAAAGTCTATGTTGCATTAGTAGTACATGAAATCTTCTCTGTCTCCAGCAGAAAAAAATTAATCATGTTTGTGTTCTGAACAACACTTGGCACTGTATAAATTTCATTAGGCCAACAAGAGAAAAGAGATATCTTATTATTGTCTATTTGTTGTCATTTTATTTCTTACAATATGAATGAATGAGAATATCTTTCATGTGTTTTTAAACCATTTGGCGTTCTTAGTTGCTAGACATGTAGTTGAAGACAGCTGTTACGAGTTTTTGTTTTATTGCATGTTTTCTATTTCAGACCTTTGTATATACTTCTTTTAACTCCCTTTCTGAAAATTAAACAGGTCAAGATGAGCAAACGACATCTGAGTGTGGTACAGCAAACATGGGCCCTTCTTTGCAAGAACTTTCTGAAGAAATGGAGAATGAAAAGAGAGACTCTATTGGTATGGTTCAGAGCATATGCATGTAAATTTATTATCCTCATTATTTAACATTTAGTATATACTCCATTTTCAATCTTTCAATAAACAGGCTAGAGTTTTTTTATTTTGAGGATCTGATATTATTGCAAAAAAGACTGTTTAAAATATATAATTATTGACAGCTTCTAGCTGAAAGCAAAGAATACTAAAATATGTCTATTTGTGCTTAATTGACTTTGCAAATCTTTTTTTGTTTTGTTTTTTAATTTTTTATTTATTTTTTTATTTCAATGAACATCTGCAGAGATTTTGGAATTCCAATCATTCATTGTTGCACTTTTCTCC